CGGTTATCGGCTACATGAGTTTTAAAATATCGGCATATCGGATATCGGCCAAAATCCCAATATCGTGCATCCCTAGATTGAAGGATGTGGCATTAAATGAGCAAAGATAATAAAATAGCAATGTAACTAAAGAACCAACTCCTACTCCATATATTCTATCAACTAGAAAGAGCTGTAAAGTTGAATATGTCAGTTCAGCTCAGATTACACCTCAGGAACAGCTCTCAAATCTGGATTTAAGCAATAGTTACCAAAAGGTAAAAGAAATAAAATGGTTCAAAATTATATCAAGATTATTGCAAGCTAACGTGACAACATTTATCCACAAAAAGCCTAAGAAATCTATCTGAAAATCAGCCTTGTTTAGTCTTTACCACCGACCAGATCAGAGAATAACAGATCTATTTAAAGGACGGATGCTGCTGCTTTAAACTGACCTTTACTTCTGTCTTTTTTTGGACAAAAACACTCTGACATGGCTTACAGGCTGTATTCATGATACAAGATGGAAAGTATTTATTGTATATTTATTGAGAGGTCATTATCGCAAGAGACAAAAGCAAAATGTCAAAACAGATTTGATAGATGAACAAAGAAAGGGGGGTGTATTATCATCCAAACTTTCCCCAGTGTGAAATATTTTCTTCTAATAACAAAGAAGGCAAATTCACCCATGTTGTAATTTATACAATGCTCTCAGAACAATGTATCACTGTTTGGCACTTTCCCCTTTTTTCCCTTTTTTATGGTCTTTTTATAGATGTTCACAAACTTCCAATAAACAGCCGATCTTCAACCCTCACACTCAGGATGCGCTGAGTGTTTGAGATGAATGCTCCAGCCCAATCTGTTCTCACAGCAGAATTCAAAAAGCAAGTTTGCTAAAGTGTCTAAGATAAATAAATAAAAAAAATAAAAGCAAGCTTCCCAACATGCATAAAGCACTCAGAAAATAGAACAGCTAAAATATAAGAGCAAGCTAACTCAACACGGGTCAAAAGCTATTAAAATATATACAGTTTTAAGATAAGACTTAAAAGCAGGAAGCTAAGATTATTGCCTTCCCTCCTTGGCAGCCAAGGGGCAGAGGTGGCTGCTAATCCCATTTATTTAAGCCAGGGAGACACATAAAACATGCAGGTATGTCCCAAAAGCCAGGACTCTGGCGAATTGTTTGTTTACATTAAAATATTCTCATTTTACAAAGACAAATAGTCATAAAAGCGTTTGAATCTTAAATGTTGTTACGGCCCCTGGCCTTTTAAGACTGTGCAGGCTTATTTTGTTATGCAGGTTCAGCTGTGACAGAACACCTTCCTTGTTGGCTGCCTGAAGGCTGCAGAGGAGCTGTGACATCATTGGACCTGCAGAGGATTGTCAAGCCGATCAGATGTTGATGAGGCCAACCTGCACCATATAAAAGGCTCCTGAAAGCTTTCAACTGGGGGACAGTTAGTAGG